AACATATACATGAAAGAGGATGTGCTATCGTATTCTCCAGAGGTTGAATTAAATATCAAAAGCGGGGTTTTGGGAGCTAACGTAACAGAAATCTCTGTCCACAATTCTCGTTCTGGTAAATATTGACAATGTGGAAATAAAACAAAGTTCCGATCGTGGCGCTCTTGTTGTTTAGACCGTTTTATTATCTTCTGTAGCTCTATTGAATGTATAGATATTATTTTTACAAATTGTTGGTACGTAATAGAATTCATTGTCTAGTTTGAAGCTAATGTACTTTCATAAAAGATGAAAACTTTCTTAATTAATTACATTTAAAAATAATTAAAAAAACTTACCGGCAAATGCCAGTTGCATGATGAAGAAATTCATTCGAGATTTTCTACGTTTTCCCAGCAGAAGTCCAGCGAGAACTGCAGTATTACCGGCGACTATCACTGCAAATAGTAGCCATAGTACCGCAAATTGTTCCGTCTATAAAAAGAAAAGTGTTTCTTTCATCTTTGTGAAATTAGCGATTTTATTTCTTTTTTAATTTAATTAATAGAATTGTGATTCTTTCTTGAAAAATTTTAGAGCATCTAATATGTATTTTGCAAATTTGTATTTATCTTTATATTATTGAGCTTGCTAAATTGAATATGAAACTTAAAATTATACAAAATTTAGACTTAAAATCATCAAAATCCAGGACTTTATGAAAACGCAATTTTTTTTTTACAAAATTATTGTTTTGGAGCAAATATATCTTACAATTAAATTGCAATAAATTGTAATAAAAAAAATTTTTTTATTGATGTTTTGAGAAAAAGAGAGAGGAGTGTTGCACGACCATTTCATTTTTACCGAAATTCCACTATTTTATGATTCTATTTTCAGGCGTTGCATTTCCTTCTTTTTTCTTATTCGCTGCACTTATATATCTATGAGTAGAACCAATACAATTTAAAGAGAGTGTAAAGATATTTTCGATGAAAAAGAGCGATTGTATAATACTCTCTCTCTCTCTCTCTCTCTCTCTCTCTCTCTCTCTCTCTCTCTCTCTCTCTCTCTCTCGGAGGATTAAATACTGAAAATTAGAATTAAAAATAGAATTGAGTACTTCAAATCTGAATTTATATTGATTGTTTATTTTTTTTTATTTTCTCTATTGATAATTATTATGTGAGACGTAGGTTGTAAACTTGTTACGTGATGTGATGTAATATAACTAATAAAGAATCAATCTCTCTCTCTCTCTCTCTCTCTCTCTCTCTCTCTCTCAAAAGCATTAATAAAGAAGCATTTCTTTTATTTATAGTTACTATTTAATTATTAGAATACGTTTTGCTGCGAAACAAGGCTTTTTTTATAAATCTTAATTATAAATTTCAATTTCATAAAATCGTCCGGATTTTGGACGATTTTAAACTTCACATTTAAGTTCAATAATATAAAGATAAACCGATTTTAAACGGTCCTTTCACAGGCAAATTTTGACTCTATTTTATTATCCTTCAATAGATGCATACACATGCAATATGATTGTATTTTGACGTGACGGAATGTTATTTATTGATTTGCACGACCCGAATAAACAGTTGATTTGATAGTTAGTTTACTAGATAATATGATCTCGTATATCGTTTCGTATATTGCACGCTGTGTAATGAGAGAAACATGTAAATGTTAATTTTAACATCGTTTGCATTGTGCACGCCATGCTTAATACGAATAGCAAACTGATTTGCTTGATCATAAATGTGACTAATATGATACACAACGTGATTTTACGAGAATGGACAACCAGCATATATCCCTATATAAGCCTTTAATGCGATTTAATACCTTCATTCGTTTTTATAGCAATAATAATAGTCAATTGCAATAAGTTTCAAATATTCGTAGATACTCAAGTTATATTTCGATTAAAATGTTGATTAATCTTTACTTTTTTAAATCTATTGATTAAAATTATTTTAAAGTCATAATATTTCCCAAGTTTTTATTGATTTTATGAAACTCTTATAAATATTTTAATTTAAAATGTGAAAAGAGGAATATACTGCTCTTTTATAATAAATACACAATTTTTAACAAATTAACGATGTAATTAATAAACTCATTAAGTTAAGAGTAAAAGCAACATCTTCAATAGAGAAAATTTGTGATTATAGACGATTACTGCATTTGAAGATATATATATAAATACAAATTAATAAGTCAATTAATTAAATTAAACAATTATGCGTCAATGCATTTATTGATAATACTCGTATCATTCAAATATTTCGACTATGTTGCAATGTGTATTGAGAATTTAATTATTTTTGCTTTGAAAACAAATAAAGATGATTACAGTAATAAAAGTAATTGCTAATAAAAAAAATTTATAAAAATTTAAACATAAATGTATAAAAAGCAAGGAGCCTGTAGACACAAAGTTAATGCTTTTCTCTTTAAGAACCGTCTTTAATCGATAAATCATTTACAAAGTCACAATTACATTTAATTATCATTTGAACGCCGCATGATAGTTGTATACAATCAAAGCCAATCTTCTGGACATACATATTCTAGACAAAATTAATTAACTTATTTTTAAGAAAAATATATTATATAATGAATCCACTTTCTG